GCCAAAGACATCATTTCCAGCCTCGCATGCGTCATGGAGTGTTCAAGGGTGGACGGAGACAATTGGCCGACTGAAAAGATATTGGAGTTGCCAGCCATAACCACGCCGACAGGGAAGAACCGCAAGACAACCAGACTCTACAAACTAGAGCTTTTAAAGAAAATGAAGCAACATCCAGCCCTGAAGACAGCCAAAGCAGCACTTGCTGGAATGAAGATCTGGGGTCGCAAAGGGAAAGGGCGTGAGACCGTCTCCCAGGCCACGCGGTGGGACTGGGATGTTTTCTTTGGTTACATGTCCAATGGGTGGCCCTTCATGCCGAACCGCGGGTCCCTTTGCATGCAGACCGACGGGGTGTGGCTCGCAGGTGAGGAGACAACTCATTGAATGCGCCTGCGGTGGACCACCGCCTCCCCCTGCCTTGTGGAAGCGCCTGTGCGGCCAAACGTTTGGGCCAGAGCTTGGCCATGCTTGACCTTCTTCGCGCCGTTGTAGACCGTCTTGGGTCCATCTTGGGCCGTCTTGGAAGCATTTCGGGGCCATCTTGGACGTCGTTGGGGCCGCGTGGGCCGGTGTGGAAGCGCTTAAGGATCGTATCGGAGGAGACCTTGGGCCATCGTAGCAGCCCTGGAAGCCATATAACGACTTCGAGCGCCCTTGGGGGGGCCCCGTGTGCCAGCCAGGATCGGGCGACATCTTTTTCGGGAGCTTTTCAAAAATGCATCCGCGGACAAAGTTCGGAGCGCCAATAACCCCGCTTGCAGGCAACAAGGGGCGGTGGATCCTGTGGCCTTCGGCATCTCCCGCCAAGGTGTCCGGGTTGTGGGCCAAATCCTTCGTGGATGCCCCCTGGGGTCTCGGGGGGTGCCTCCTGGGGGCGACATTGGGGCCTCCTGGGGGCAGCTTATTGGCCTCTTGGGGGAATCTTGGGGGCCCCCTGGGGGCTCCAGGGGGGGTTCGGAGGGGCCCCGGGGACACGTTGGACGTATGGGAGGCCATCTTGAGGGGAGATGCCCCGCCAGCCACCTCGAGTTCCCCCTCTTTCTCCCCTCATGGGGTTCTCTTGGGGCCTCTTGCACCGCCTTTGGGCGTATCGGGTAATTCCGGGGCCGTTCTGGGCAGCCGAGGGTTTTCCTTCGGGGATGATGAGGTCGTCCCTGGGGGGGTCTTGGTGGCTCCTTTGGCCGATTCAAGCGTCTTCAAGTTGGCAAAACGCGACAACTCGGAATCAACGCGGCAATACCATTCGAGCTTCAATGGTTTTGGCAATGTCGGGTCTTCTTGGGGTTCCCATTTGGGGCTTTCTTGGGGCGTTTTCGGGGCAGCCTGGCCCGTCTAGAGTCCATATTGGGCCGCCTCGGGGCGTTGATGGGTTGATGGGGGGCCCCTCTCTGGCCATGCTGCCGCCCTCTCGGGCCACCCTCGGCCCGTTTTGGGGCTGTCTGGCCTCGCGAAAAGCCACGCGGCGATCCCAGGGAGTCTGCGGAGCGCCCCGCCCCCGGGGCCTCCTGGCTATTCAAGGAGCGCGGTGAACATGCAACACAGGGAGTTCGAAGGGACTTGCAGAGACTTTAATTCGTGCTGCGGGGCACGGTGGCGGATTACATGTTCTGGGACCCGTCCGGCGACAATCACGTGTGGGCGCCTGTTCAGGCGGGATCTTTGCTTCAAAACTTGGGGCGAGCGTTGCCCGTCCCAAGTTGCTCACACGTTGTGGACATATGCCCAGGCCCGACCTGATCTTTCGAGGTCCGAGCTTGGCGCCCCCGTCCGCACTTTTGAGAGACCCCCTTCGTACTTTTGAGAAATGTGCTCAAAAGTTGGTTTCGCCTGATACATCCGCACTTCATACTTTTGAACGACCACCTTCGTTCTTTTGAGCGACCCCCTCCGTACTTTTGAGAAATCCGCTCAAAAGTTGGTTTCGCTTGAGACATCAACGACTGTTACTTTCGAGAGGACGTCCTCACGAGTAAAGCTTGGTACTTTTGAGCAAGGACCCCCCCCCCGCCCCTCGCACACAGGAGGCGCCAAGGTGGGGAAGGCCCGTGCGCTGCAGTGCCACTGGATGGCTAGGGCATCTCTTGGCGCGGAGCTGGGGCGCGACAGTGGGGGCGACCCACTGATGCATTTGTCTTGCCTTCGTCGTGGGTGCCCCATGCCGTATAGGAATTCCAGTGGAGAAAGCCCGCGGCGGCGCCCCCGGGCCTCGGCGGCGGGCCCGACGGGGAGCCCGGGGCGCCTCCGGGTCACCTGCAGGGAGGCGGCTCTGGACCGTCTCCGGGTCGCTCGGAGGCGGCTCGGGGGCGCCTCCGGGTCACCCGGAGGCAGCTCTGGACCGCCTCCGGGTCACTCGGAGGCGGCTCGGGGGCGCCTCCGGGTCACCCGGAGGCAGCTCTGGACCGCCTCCCAGTCGCCCGGAGGCGGCTCTGAGGCGCCCCCGGGCCTCGGCGGCGGGCCCGACGGGGAGCCCGGGGCGCCTCCGGGTCACCTGGAGGCGGCTCTGGACCGTCTCCGGGTCACTCGGAGGCGGCTCGGGGGCGCCTCCGGGTCACCCGGAGGCAGCTTTGGACCGCTTCCAAGTCGCCCGGAGGCGGCTCTGAGGCGGCCCCGGCCGAGGCCCAGAATAAAAGTCAAGACAGCGCCGTCTTGACTTTTATTCCGGGGCTCCGCCGGCCTCCCAATTGGCGGCGCCCGGGGAGCCCATCTTGCCGCTCGCCGCTCGCGGACGGGGGGGTACCCTGGGAGGGTTGTCGTCCCCGAATGCCGCAGCCAAGAGAGCCCCAATTGGAGCCCGAGGAAGGCGCGAGATTGAGTTCCAGGATGTGCATCGGCCGTTGCACATCTCCCAGCGGGATGAAGGGGGCCTTCAAATTGGGCCTCTTGGAACCCGACTGGAGCCCTCTTGGAGCTTTCTTGGAGCCCCACAGGGCTCCAAGAACCCCCCAAGAGGGCCCAACACCTTTTCACGTAAAAGAGCCTTGTTCGTGATAAGGTGTTGGGCCCTCATGGGGAGCTCTCGGGGGCCTCTTGGAACTCTCCTTGGGCCCTCTTGGGGCCCTCCTGGAGCCCTCTTGCAGCCCCAGAAGAGTTCTAAGAGGGCCCCCGAAGGGTTCCAAAAGCCCCCCAAGAGGGCCCAACACCTTGTCACGAACAAGGCCCTTCTTCGTGACAAGGTGTCGGGCCCTCTTGGGGGCCTCTTGGAACCCTCCTGGAGCCCTCTCGGGGCTCTCTTAGAGCCCTCTTGGAGCCCCAAAAGGGCTCTAAGAGGGCCCCCACAGGGCTCCAAGGACCCCCCAAGAGGGCCCGACACCTTGTCACAAAAAAGGGCCTTGTTCGTGACAAGGTGTTGGGCCCTCTTGGGGGGCTCTTGGAACCCTCCTGGAGCCCTTTTGGGACTCCACCTGCGCCCCCTTCAGACATCCGTAGTTGTTTTGGCACAAGCTTCTCCAAGGATCGTTCTGGGGGCCTCCCGTGAGCGCCGTGGCCGCGCGGGGAGCCGTTCCGGAGGGGAAATTATGGTGCGAAACACATTGTCACCTTAAGTTGGTGCTTCGCAGACCGTCTTCGGGCCCTGTGGGGGTCCTCTTGGCGCCGCTGTTCGGCCTTTTTTTGGCTTGTCTGGGGGCCTTTCCGGGAGCGCCGTGGCCGCGTGGGGAGCCGTTTCGGACGGGACATGAAGGTAAAAAAAAAGCTCTCGCCTCACTTTACGCCCAGCTCGGTGGCCCCTGAGCCACCAGATCTTGTAGGGCCCCGCCGCGCCCTACAGGATCCGCGGCCTTGTCCTGTAGGGCCCCGCCGCGCCCTACAGGATGCTGCTGCTGAGGCTCGTCTCTGAGGCATGGCCTCACCCCTCGCCAGTTCGGCTAGTGTCCGTCCCGTCGGATGCTAGACCTTGACTGTCCCCATTGTCGCCGTTTTTTGGGTCACCCGATGTTGTTGAGGACGGTGGTGCGTTGATTTTGGCGCTTGATTTAGGTCATCCTGAGGATCCTCCTTGGGGTCTCAATGGGCGTCCTCAGGGCTCTCTTCGAGACTCGGGAGCGTCCGAGGCGGGCTCCCAAAGGCCTTCAAGAGGTGCCGAAACCTGACACAAGTTCGGCGTAAGCCGCTCCCTTGCTGAGGACAGTGGCGCTTTCAATTCGCGTTGATGTTTGGGTCCTTTGGGTGGCCTTCTGTGGGCTCAGGAGGCCCCGTCGGTCCGCGCTCTGTGTCCATGCAGCCCCCCAGGCGGTCTCCGCGGGCCCCCCAAGAGCCCCCATCAATCGATTCAGATTTTACGTACGCAAGCCGTTCCCGTGGTGAGAGCGATGGCGAGTTCAGTTTGCGTTGAACTTTGGGCTTTCTGGGTGTCCATCTTGTGGCTGTTCGAGTGCCTCCTAAATGTCCTGCGCGCCCTACTGAGGCTTACATATAATTTGGATGTGTCGGGATTTCTGCTTGAAGCGTTTGAATTGTTTCCACGCCAGTGCGACGGGGAATTTGAACAGGTTTGGAACGTTGCCCAATAGGTTAAGCGTGAGAAGAAGACGAGGACAACGGAGCCCGGCAGCACCCCCACCATTGCTGAGAGGGAGCACTACAGCAAGGCCATGGAAACTTTCTGGGAGGGGGCGAACGAGCCAGCTAAAAAACGTCAGAGACGATCATACGTGGAGACGCCAAGAATGGCAACGCTCCTTTGGATTCGGGAGACGGACAACGCCATGAGGCACAGCTTGAGGAGGCGTTTATCTTCATTCCAGGTCGATTTGGACCAGGTTAAAGCTCTGATGGATGATAAATCGATGTGCTTCCAGTCCCTTGCAAGGACAGCCCCAATACTTTCTGCTGTGCTGGATCAGGCGCCTTGGCAAGTGACGGGCAGCCATTTTTTAAAGTATAGCAAGATGATTAACCTCGTCACTCTGTGGGACCCTGCAGCCCATCGTATACACAATGATTGGAAGTCCGGGATATCTTGGGCTAAACTGAATACGGCTGTGTACGCAACTACGACGCTATTCAATTTTACGTCTGGCCCTTGCAAGTCCGCAGGGCGTTGGCTTACCAACATACAAGAAACCATCTTCTGGCCTGCGCCCTCCGTCGCCGCCGCCCCGGGATCGGGGACCCTTGGGCCCTCTGGATACATCTTGGGTCTCTTGTGCGCCTTCTGCGGGTTCGGGAAGGTCTCTCTTGGGAATCTCGGCGAGGCCCCTGAAGCCTCGAAGGGCCCCGTGGCGACGCCAGGGGGCGCCGCTGCGAGCGTCTCGGGAACGCGTCGGCGGCGTCGCGTGCATCTTCGTTTTTTTTTTTTGCGTCGACAAGTTCCATTTTTGAGCGGCTTCTGGGGGCCCTCTGGGGTGCTCGTTGGGCTCCTCGCGTTGGTTCGGGGGTCCTTGGCGGCGGAATGGGGAGCTTCCAGAAACGGGTTCGACGCCCGAAACGTTGCGCGAGCGAATACAGTGTAAGTTGAGAGCGCGCCTGGGAGTTCTGAATGGTTTCGTCCGCTTCGGTGGAAGCCTGTGGCCCCGATGAGGCCCCAGGACACCCCGAACGCTGCTCGAGGACGGACCCCTCGAGGCATCGGCAAGCAAGCCGAATGACTGGGACTCGGATTGGCCCTCGGGGGCTCCGAGGCAAGGCGCGCGGGGATCCGCGGGGGCCCTCAGGGGCCCGCGCGCTCGAGCGAAAGCAATTGGATGCATGGTGGCTTACAGGGCATGCCAATGTGAACATTGTATGTTTTGGGGCTCCAGAGGGCGCCCCAACCTGTGCCGGGAGCACGGTGGCGGTTTCTGGAGGCGAAGGAACTGTTGGAAGAAAACGACGCCAGTCTTGTGGCCTTGTGGCCCGACATTTGTTTCGAGCGCGGTTGGCGGACAGAGTCCGAGACAAACGTGGAGGCGAGGAAACAATTCATCAAGGACCTCCCTTTTCTCGATATTGTGCAGAGGCAGGGAGAGACCATCGCTTTGGCGCGCTGGCTCTCATATCCGAAAGGTGAGAAACAACGACGTAAAGGTTGGTCTGAGACACTTTTGTTGTTGTTGCACTGGGGCTTGACCACGGGCGCTGTTTCGAAGGCGTGGCAAGTTTGGAAGACCACAAAGGTGAAGGAGGCGAAGGCGCAACAAGACGTCGAACCGCCTCTGGGGGGCGAGGGGGACTCCGAGAAAACGGCGGCTTGCCCGATCAAGACTTCTTCGGAAAATATGGGTGCCATCTACAAGCGGTGTAAAAATCAATAGTTGACGCTCCGCGTATTCCCGCCAGCCCATCCAGAAACAACGCCCAGGCGAGTTGAGGTGTCTAGGGAAGTGTGGGAGCAAAGATGGGGACAGCCGAACCGAGCCAAGGAGGGACGTCTCCTCCTCCCTACGTCGCTCCCCCTCCCCGCCGCCCGCGCACTTGTCACGTCATCGATGTTGGTTCCTGGGGCTGAGCGCGCGCAGAAAGTGATGCAAACCACAGTGCGAAACGCCAAAATTGAGGGGGGATGAAATTTGCCCAAAGTGGCACATTTCTTCCCCCCTCAATGTTGGCGTTTCGCATTGTATTTTACAGCACTTTCTGCGCGTGCTCAGCCCCAGCAGCCGAGATCGATGACATGACGGGTTGGCGGACGGCGAGGGGAGGAGCGCCTGCCCTTCCTCCTCGAGGACGAGGAAGAGGAGAACGAGGAGGAGGAGCACGAGGAGAAGGAGGAGGAAACGAAGGAGGAGGACGAGGAGGAGGAACAGGGCGAACATAATAGCCAAAAGCATCTTGAATGCCTCTCGGGGTCTCCTCGGATTGATCGTATACGCTTTTTGAAAGAGGGATTTCCTTGGGGATGTGTTGCGGCCCTTTTGGGCCGTCGCGGAGCTTTCTTGGGCCATTGCAGCTCTCTTCGGGTGCATGTCGGAGCCCTTATAGGCTCCAAGAGGGCCCAAGAGCAGCATAACAATTACATAAAAACACATGGTTCTGGATCCTGGGGCATGCCGCTGTTAAGACGGCCCTTAAACGTTTTTTGAAGGCCTCTTGAGGCGTTAGGGGAGCTTCTTGGCAGGCCCAGGTGTATTTTTTGTGCGTTTTGGGTGCCCCGGGGATTCTCTTGGAACCTCTCGGCGTCTTGGGTGCCTCCTGGGAGCCTCCTGGGAGCCTTTTTGGGGGCCTCTTGGGGGCCGCTGGGGTCCTATTGGGGGCCTCTTGGGGGCCTCTTGGGAGCCTCTTGGGGGCCTCTTGGAACCATCTTGGAGGCTTCTTGGGGCCCCTGGGCGCCTCTTGGGGCCACCTTGGAGGAGATCGATCAAAGAAGAGGGGCCCCCTAATTAGCGTCGCCCCCTCGAGCCTCTAAAATCGCCTCTTGGACCCCTCTTGGAGCGCTCTTGGAGCGCTCGGGCGCTCTTGGGGCCGTTTTGGGGCTCTCTTGGGCCCCTCTTGGGGCCCTCTTGGGCCATCTTGGAGCCATCTTGAGGCCTCGGGGGGCCATCGGAAGCGAAACGGCGAGAAAACAAACATCATGTGCTTTCCTTTGGTTGTTGGAAGATGTTGGCTTCTTGGGGCCGCCTTGGCAAGCTCTTTGGCCTCTTGGAGCCGTCTTGGGGCGATCTTGGGGCCTCTGGGAGCATCTTCGAAGCCATCTTGCGGCATCTTAGGCTATCTTGGGCCATATTGGAGCTCATCTCGGGCTCTCGGACGCGCTCTCGGAGCCGTCTTGAGCGAAAAAGTACCGTCTGACATCTCGCGACCGCCCCCGTTCAGGTCCAGAGGAGGGGGTAGGGGGAGAAGTAATCCCCTCCCTGAAGGGGAAGAAGGGGGTTGGAAGAGGAAGCTCCCTAAACCACCTACGCCCAGAGGGCTGGTGGGATTGCACGTATGTTTGGAGCTGGCCGCGAGCCCCGATTTGAAAGAGGCAAGCCGGATAATCGGCATCGTGTCGGAGCCGTTGAGCACCCAGCATGGCCACTGGATGCAGGATCTGAGAACTAAGGCTGGTAGCCGTAAGTTTTTTCTAGATGCCGCCACGTGGGGCCACGTGGGTGAGCTTCACGCGTTGATCGATTGTCTCTTCTGTCCAGAGAAGCTCGAGTGGATGGGGCTCGACATGCATCCCCCGAGCAAGCTCCCTGGAGCCACAGTGCCAGAAGAACGCATCCTCTCCCAGGACATCGCAGCCAACGAGATCTGGACGCTCACCTTTGGCATGCTGAGAGCTCGCGCAACTACCCAAACTTACTATGCAACTGCTTACCCATTGATTTTGGCACGGTCTCTTTGGGATGACCCCATCAAGATCAACGCGTTCTTGTCGCAAACAAAGACTGCATGTGAAATGTTCAAGAAGGCCGAATCAAACCCAAACGCGTTCGTGCAGCAGCTTGTGCGCCGGAGCCAGATGATGGAACCCATTATGAGGGTGACTTCTGTGATTCTGCTGCACGGCAACTTCGGACAGTATGCTGTGGATTCGTTAGTGGCGCATTGGAAACAGGCATTCGAGGGCATAGCCACGTCTAAGCCAATGGAAGACAACAACAGGGCTGCTAGATCAGAGGAAACCCGAGCTCAAGAATCGAAAATGATGACTCGGGTTCGGAGGTCCTTGGTGCCAGTCAAATCGGATATCGGTGCAACGTGGGATCGACCTGTCCCGTCGTCCACACAAGCATCTTTGCCAACTCCGGAGAAGCTCCGAGAGGATTTATAGAAAACGCCTGCGGCGAAACACTGCCGCCCTCTGCCGCGTGCAAGTGCCAATGCAACCAAACGTTCGGCCAGAGCTCGGCCAAGCTACTGGACGACGTGCCCCCCAAACCATACCCTTTCGGGGGACACTTGGGGGGGAAAGGAAAACGATCAGGAGAAGGAGGAACATGGGGAGTAGAACGAGGAGGGAGGAGGAGGCATGATGGGGCCATCTTGGAGCCTCCTGATGCCTTTTGGCGGCCTCTGGGGCCACAGTGGGATCGTGTCGGAGCCATATTGGGCCGTATTGGATTTATATCGAGGCCATTCTGGCCGTCTCGGAGGGCATGTTGGACCATGTTGAAAGCCATTCAGGGCCATCCTGGCCGCCTTGGAGGCCTCCTCGGCCGTCTGGGAGTCCACCTTGGGCCATTCTAGCCGTCTTGGAGGCCATTTCGGGCCGTATTGGGGGAATCTTTGGAGCTCTTCAGGGGGCGCGTTGGGCCATCGTGGAGCCATTATGGAGGTCAGCTGGGCCGTGTGAGGTTGTCGGAAACCTGAGATGGCGACAGCGCTAAGCTCCTTGAGTGCACACTTACAATTAATGCTACTGGGCCTCGCGAAGGCTTCCTGGGGAATCTCGTGGATCACCCTGGAGCGGCCCAGGGACCTTTAATATAGTCTTCAGCCCATATTGGGCCGCCGTGGGTCCATGCTGGGCCGCCGAGGAAACATTCATGGGCCATTAGGGGCTCGCTTGGAGGGGGCTTGGACAGCTCGGGGGCGTCTTGGGGCCCGCCTTAAAGGAATACTGGGCCGTCCCAGCCGTCTCGGAGTCAATGTTTGATCGCCCTGGGATTGTCTCGGGGCCATTGTGTAGGCCCACTGGGCCGTCCTCGGGCCATCGTGGAGGCTTTCGGGGGGCGCGCTTGGGGTCCCCAGGGGCGTCTTGGGGGCCCCTCGGGCCGTCTTGAAGCCGCCCTGCGCCGTCTCGGGGCGCTCGTTGGCCGAGCGTTGTTTTTTTTTAGACCGCCACAGGGCTCTGTTAAGGCCCTCGTGGCCCGTTCGAGGTCTCTGTGGCATCGGGGGGGGGGGGGCCGCGTGGCGATCCCCGGGGAGGCATGGGCCCCCCTTGCTCCTGGGGCCGCTGGGCACCCCCAACAGTTCTCCGCATGCTCGTTGCAAAGACCTCCGAGGGACCTGAGGACACCTCAACTCGTGCATCGGGGCACGGTGGCGGATTTCGCGTTGGGGAGGTCCAGATAAAGAGCGAGGGCATTCCATGCAATGATGTTTTGAAAGACCATACCTGGCCCACGGTGACTGCCCACGAGCTCTTCAGGTTCTCTTCCGAACAGTCACTCATATCGTACATGGTGCGCACCGATTCCATTTCGGTTGCAGACTACTTTTGGTATGCTTCTATCTTCCCCGAAGGGGAGGTCGTGCACAACTTGTTGACTGATTCCTTCTCTTTGGTACTTCGTGTTGCGGAAGATTCGGGGGTGCTTATGTGGCCGTGTGAGCTCACATCAGACGAATACATTTACCTTAACAGGCCGACGTTCCTCGAATGGACTCACGTCGACGACTTGAAGGAATGGAACATAGTGAACACTACGATCGTAAGCCCCCTGAGGTTGATGACGTCCCACGAAGGCGCGAAGCTCGAGAACCCCATCGGCTGCGTCATCAGACGCAGCTCGGCCGATGACTCCAGAATGCTCGCTTGGCATGCCCAGCGAGCTTTCGCCCACCTGCCACAAAAAACAGTGAAGCGGCTAGTTGAGGAGTACGGCTTGAAAGCGAACGCTGAGCTCGGCAAACTCGGCCTGGAATGCCAGGAAGAAGCCGAGATCATGGCGCTCATGATGAAGGTGACTGAGGGCATGGATGCAAACCAGTGCGAGTTGGCATTCTCGAAAAGGCGGAAGATTCTTTCTGGGGAGGACACTTCGGCGCTGCAGCCGATCATCGATGACCCTGAGATGCTCGAGCTTGTCGTGCCCACTAACGAGGCTAACAAATGGAAGTCGAGGGGGGCTTCGGAGGAGGGAAAACGAACCCAGCTCTCGGCCTCTGCGAAAGCTACCAAAACCATGCGAGATAAACTTTTTCCGGCCGCCAAGAAAGCCGCGGCCAAGGCCAAGGGCAAGGCGCAAGGCCCCAAGCTGTCCGTGGCTGCACGTAAGCATCGGAGGGAGCAAATCGCAGCAGGGGACTTCCAGGCCGTTGAGTTCTTCAGGCCCCCCATGCTGCGGATCACGGTAGAGGACGGACTTGGGCCCCGCATTGTGCGAGCGAGGGGCGGTTGGCATTCCTCCCCGCCTCCCCGTCCGCGCATTGCATTGCGCCTTCGGTGCGTAATCAACCGATTGTAAGTTATATGCCCAATGCTCTTCCGAAACAACTTTCAGGCCGAGGTTGTGGGGGGGGGGGCAGGGGGATTGCCAGCCCGTGATTCGCTCGCTCGGCCGGGGCCCTAACAGGAGAAGGGCACGTGCCTGCGCGTCTGGGATGGACATACTCGTTTGAGGTCGTTTTCCTGGTTCA